CAACTAAATTGAGTCTTCCTCTGAAAGGCAGACATCTGTTCAGTACTTTTATCCAAGCCTCACATTTTCCTTTCTTTTCACAAAACCAAGGATTCCATCCAAAAAAAGTAATTTTCAAGGAGATGTTCAGTCAGGCATAGATAGACTTGGGATGCAATTACCTGGATGCAGAAAAAATTCTGTGGTTTGACCAAGCTGATGCAGACTTCTACAGTAAAACAAATTAGGACTTGGCCTATGTGATGGGGGAAGCCATCTTACAGGGTTCTGGAGGTCTTAATGGCCTTAAATGTCATAAATTAAAGAAAGATATAGAATGAATGAACGTAATTCTGACAAGTTCACAGTATACCTAATGGATCAGAAGTCAAAAGACTCAAATGTGGGATACCTGGTTTCTGAATCCCAAATTTCTTTAGTTGGATAGCAAACACCCAGAGTGGGATTCAGTGTCCCTTCCACTGGACATGAAGTTAGGTGTCCACTCTCAGCTGCTTACTCCTTGCACAGTCAGTGAGGAGGCAGATGCCTCCAGAATCACCATCAGAAGAGAGGTCAAATGAATAGCTTTAATATCTGACTTGTAGGTGGCTAAGGTCAGCTGGTATAGAGTCACCTTATATCTTCAGCTCCAGCAAGATTACTGTGGCAGCGACAACTGAAGCAGAAGGATTTCAGGGTGGCAAGGGTGTTTCACTGATGAGCAAAGGCAATTGTAGACTCAGACATCTGCAGGAAGCAAGTGTTCTTAGCTTTTGTTTTTAAGCAGTATGGGTCCTTTTTCATTCTAAGTTGCACCTGAGCTGAAGAACCACTATTTTGGAACTGTCAGACCATAGGAATCCAACAGCTAAAATTAGCTAAAAAGCACACTTCTATTTGGGTTTTGGTTTGACAGGTTTCAAAATCTATTTTGTAAAATAAAATTCCTCCAGAGGTATCTATTTCTCTCTATTGATTTAATAGAAACTTAGATGACAAACACTTAGATGACAACTTCAGATATAGTTCCTTAGCTTCTGCATGCCTCGTACTAGATGAGATGAGTCCCACCTCAGATATTCAGTCTAATGTTGTTCTGGAGATCTCCATTATAATTAATGAAAGGGACAGGCATCCCCAGAAGGTGATTTAGCCCATCCTAACACAGATAAATAAAGGGGGAAATGCACAAATCTCTAGAAATTTCTCTTTCTCTCCTTTCTGCAGGAATCCTAGCAGATGTTTAGAATAGATTACAAACTTTTGGACCGTTAAAGCTAAATCAAATGAATCACACTCTTCACTTCTCACCTCTGTGCAGAAAATGTAGAAAACAGAATTGCTTTACCCCTTCCAGAAATTAATTCAAAACAAAAGAAATTCTGAGGTGCCATGGTAAGTGAGGTGGAGAAAAATGTGTAACAGTAATATATTTTTTAACCCTGTATACTTTCTGGGCAGGATGCAGGCTGCTGCAATTTAGGTATTCGTGATGAAGTGCAGAGGAGAGTTTATTCTGCGTGGGTGGATGGACAAGGCCCTATCTTAGATGTGTTAGGTGTGTTGTGCAGAACAACTCTTCAACATTTGGCTGTTACCCAGATATGAAGACATGGTGAGAAGGAGAAAACTAAGCTGAAGATGGTGCCTAGGTAGGAGCATGACTGACAGGAGGATGATAATGTCCCTAGTGATTGAGAATGGAGGCGGAGGAGAGAGGAGACAGGGTATGGGAGGAAAAGTTCAAGAGCTCTGTTTTATACATATTGAGCCTGATCTGGCAGCTAGACATCCAGTAGGAGATGCTGGAAAGACAGGCCAAGATTTTAGTTTGGATGGCAGTCAGTCCTGCAGTAGAGAAGTTAGATCTGCAAGCTGTCACTGTAGAAATAGTAGCTGAATTCGTGTTGGTGGATAAGGCTGCTAGGGACAAAGCTTGGATGAGGAAGGGAACAGAATCAAGTGAAGAGACCTGTTTACGCCCCCATATGGATGGGAGAGAGAGGAAGGGACAGAGTAACCAAAGCTAAAAGTACAGGGCATATAGTTGTTATAAATGCATTATAAATACATGTAGAAGTACATGAAAATTATGACCTCTCATAAAGAAAGACATGGAGGTCAAGTAAAACACTATTGTAAAGCTGATGAGTTGATAAGCAATATGATTTTAAAAGACCCCCAAAAGCTCTCTTGGCGGGTAGATACAGAAGGAACTTTGGGCCTGCTCAGAAGTAAGGGATTTGGGGAAAGTTATTTCTGAAAGCAATTGATTGTGTGAAAATTGGAAAGCTGTAGAGCTGTTTGGTGGGCCCTTAGGAGAAACAAATGCTTTGCATAGAGAAGTGGGCTTGTGACGGATGGTGGTCAGGCACCTGTCCAAGGAAAGGTTAATAAAAAAAAAAAAAAAGAAAAAAACTTTCATAAAAGAAAGTTACCTTTTGAAACTATTAGGCAACATATGTTGTGTGAACAGGAAGTCACAGTAGAGCAATAATCCTGACAGCTGTGGAGAAACAGGAGTCTGCCGCAGGAACGAACGGCTCGAGACCTGACAAGAATGATGATGGATGCCCCGTTGGTAGTACACGAGGACAAGGCAAGAGACATTTAAATTGGCTGAACCACAGGAACAACTTTGATTTGGCATCGCAGCCGGACAAATGAGGCCAGTCCTAATGGTGAGAGAAATGGGAGGGGGGACTGAAGGAAGATGGCAGCAATGTACCCCTCCTTTCCAAGGACGAGGGCTACATCGCCATCTCACCACGAGGTGGCTGCATTTCTCTGTGAACATTCAAGCCCCGAAAGAAGCTGCACACCCTGAAGCACCATGAAAATGAGAATGGGAACGGAGATCACTTGCAGGATTTGGCCCACCTCATTTAGAGTGCCTTAAGCATTCTGAGCCCTGTGGGTAAAACAGTATGTGCTCCATGTCTTGATCAAGTGGTGGTCACTTGACAGGTCCTCACTAGTCTGCTGAGCCATGGTAGCTGCTCGTCTGACTGCTCATAGCTGATGGGAGATACAAGGCAATGACACATAACTTAGCTTAGGATAAAGAGGATGAAATGAATAATTTTCTACTTGCTTTTCCTGTGAACTAAGAGTTGGTACTTGGACAGCTGCTGAAGTTCAGCCAAATAATGGGAACTTGTCAAGCCATAGAAACTGGATTGTGAATCTGGGATGTGCATCTAGTAAGGGTTAAACTGTGATGGTTTTTCAGATGCCCAGGTCTGGTTATTCAAGAACATTTCTGGAACAGGTATTTGAGTCAAATGAGTCAAGAGGAAAAATGGTCCCATAAAAAACTGACTGATAAAATGGCCAAATTTTCAATTGTTCTGCACATCCTAAGTTCAGTTGACGTCAGCAGAATGGAACAGAAATTTTCTCCCAAGTGGTCAAGAGATGAGTATTTTTCTTATCTAAAGTGTGCTGAAAATAGGAGAGATAAGGGCTGGGGAAGGATAAGGATATTTTGGTTATAGTAGATCTAGATAAAATCCTCAACTCTCCTTGGATTTTGTCTGTTTTCTCCCATCTTTTTCTCACCACTTGTCCCCTAATTTTGCAAGCTTTTTGGTACAGGAACTGATTTTTTATTACACTTTTTTTGTGGCACCACACCCTGTGGAACTGCAATTCCTGATGTCAGTTTATATGCATTATCACTTTGGGTCAAAATTTTAAAGTCATTACGAGAACCTCTTTGACCTGTCTCAGGAAAGATGCCCATACTATTTCACTAGGGGATGTCATCATAAAGCTCAGCATCTGATTTTGTTAGAAGGAATCTTTTAGGAAGAGACTCCTAAAACTATTGTAGTACTTCAAAAAATTGAGATGCCCATCTGTAAGGAGATTTTTTTTCAATAGCGTGACTGGTAAACATGTACTATTTTTAATCTGATTTGTGTAAGATGAGGCTCCAAAAAATGAGATCTTGATGATTTGCCACTTTTAGAAACCTTTTCCCCTGTAAAGAATTTTCCATTTTTGTCTCTGCAAAGACCTAGAGACAATCTGCCAGGCCCACTTTAAACTTATTTGGATAAATTCATGAATTTACATTAGTGTCTCTTACTGAAAGGGAGATTTTACAGTCTTAAATATCTTTTATTGAGCTTGCTGCATCCTTTCCAAGTTGTCAGCACACTTCTTAGACTTTCAAGATTTACATTGTGAATAATTAGTAATAAAAATAATATACTATTATAATAAACCAAAACATGTTGGACCAGATTGCCTTTCCTTGCTGACAGTGGAAAGCCTTACATTCCTCTGGGTCTGTGTGATGGTGTACAAATATCATTTTGCATAGAAAATACATTTCCATTTCTACTTTCCTGAACTATCAGGCTTCAAACCCCCTATTACTAGATATTTATCCAAGTGGAACGATCCCTTAAATGTTTCCTGGAAGATTCAGTAGCTGATCTGATGTCTTTCAAAACTTGGATATAAGGGACCACATTTATGCCTAGGTAGGCACTTTTGTAGTAGCAGTGAGAGGCACCCATTGCGGTGTGATTTGTCCCTAGTTTCTAGTGCCATCACATGAACATGCTGCTCTCTGCTGAATGCTGGCAAAAAGTTCTTTGTCCTTCACTTAGAGGAAGGGACTCTATGGGGAGGGAAAACAAAGAAGCCCTTATACACAAGTTTCTGCTTGATTCATCCCTTTGAAACTTGAAAGGTTACACTCGTGGTGAGTTTGACCCAATGTTTTTGGCATCTGTGAACAATAAGTCTTGTTTTCAGGTCATCAGAACTGCTGGTGACAGAACACAGCATGCCTTGGGGTTCTGAGCCTATGTGAAATGACAGTGTCATCCTGGCCTTTCCACCGATGAGTTAAGTGCACCCAAGGCCCTGCATGCCTGAGGTGTTATCTATTCTTCCCAGAAGATGAGTTGCAGAGCATAGATAAATCATTCACTCCTCAATCAGGCCACAGGGCAGGAAAGGCTGGACCAATCCTCACTTGCTAGCACTACAGAGCTACTCACCGGCATTGTCTGGCTGCCATGCAAGGCATTGATGGCTGCTTGAGCCTCCGCATGTGAAGAGTATTTCACAAATGCACACCCTGGAAGAGGAAAAAGAAGAACATAAGAAAGGTTGCATTGGTACTATGAAAGTCAGTCTAGCTGAGTATCTTGTCCTCAGAACTGGGCAATAGTAGTGGAGGTAGCAGAGAAAGTATAACAAGCTAACATGCTCCTGGTTATTCCTTTGCAAAGTCCAGTCATCGGCAGCCTGAGGACCTTTTGAGGCAAAGCTGCATCCAGAATCCCCACACTGTCTGTGACTGGCACTGATGGACCCAAAATTAGGAAGCACTTTTTGAATCCTCTTATCGTTTGAACTCCACAATTTCCAATGGCAGTTTTACACAGTTTTACAGTTTGTTGCATGAAAATTAATCTTCTTTTATTTGTGTTGGACTTAAAGCTGAATGCTCCTCCCTCTGGGGTTATGAGAAACAGTAAGGATGTGTGTCAAAATTATCAGAAAGCTGCACATACTTGTTACAAGCAACCACAGCCAGCTGTATGGAAGGCATTCAGGTTACTCCAAACCCATAAGGTACCTTATCATATCACTGTCTGGTAAAGCTCCATGACAGACTGCTCAGAGCTTGTCTTGGCTCCAAGCAGCCTTGGTCTGACAAAGAATGATAGCTTCTGATGAAGAAGCTGGGATGTGAGAGATCCACATCTGATGATTGCCATCTTGTCACCACCAAAATTTCAGTCTTAGTCCTTCACCATGAGCTGCAGGGCCAGTGCCTGTATGGGTGTTTTCCTCTGGACATTACAAAAATACAAGCAGTGCTTCTCTGGCCTGCATTGCCATGTGAGGAATCTCCCAATGAACACTTACATAAGGTTTTTAGGGTAGAAAGGTGTATTTATGAATATGTGCTGGAGTGGAGAAATGATCAACACTTCAAAGGGTCACATGCACCACTAGAGTTGGGGAAAGTATTGCTAACACTCTTAGCTACAAGCAAACTGATTCAGAGAGAGGAAGAGTAATTTCCATATGCTAAGGCGTTTTTTGGAACAGATTGGGAGAGATCTGAGAAGTTCTGGCTTCCATCCCCTTCTATTACTACCAAAGACTTTTGAGCTTTTAATCAATTTGCAAAGCCTGAGCTGTTTCCCTGAAGGAGTGCAGATCACTGTGCAGGGGATGCCAGTCCTGACAATGGGACACCTCTCCTTTATTCCCAGTGCAGAATCTTTAGAAGGTCCACACACCCTTATAGATCCATACAGTGCAGGGTGAAAAATGAAGCATTAGAACACCCTGCCTATGAACTAGAAGAATGAGTCCCATATGTCCCCAAAATCTTCACTACAGGCTGATAGAAGTGAGAGTGAAAAAATCAGTGATAGCCCCTTCTAAAAATAATACACACATATGAAATTAGCTTGCAGTTAGGAGCCCTTCACTTTGCATTACCCCCTCAGCACTATGCTCAGACTGTATTTCAGGAAAAGCACAATGATTGTTGCTAATAGTTGGATCTAATTTATAAGGAGCTGAGAGGAGACAATCATGAGAAAATGAGATAGATAAACTTCAGCTGGAAACAATAGGGATCAATTATGACATAATCGCAGCCCAGCATTCCCGGGCTCCTGAGATACTACGCCTTCCTCTTCATTAATCAGAGATAATCCAGAATTAGGGTGTTTAATTATTTGCAGAGATTCTTTTGTACTTTCTGCCTCTAAAAAGAAGATGTTGATTAGCAAATATACAAAAGCTTTCCAGCTCCAGTCACCCATTGCATTTAGAGCAGGATTTTTGGCTGCAGTGCTGTTGTCATGTTGAAGGCTTCACTCTCTTCAGGTGAAATTCATCCCTGTGCTGAGGAACCTGATGGATCAGTGGAGCTGGATAAAGGTAGGAATGAAAGGAGCAGCAGGCATTTATCTTGTTTAATGCCCAAGATGCTAATGGGATCCCTCCTACTGCTTCCATTAAGTTTTGCAATAGTAGGGTAAATGAAAACTCAGCTATCTCTGGTGTGTCATGGCAAGGCCATAGCAGGGTTCCCAGCATTTTGGCCTTTTAGTTTGTGCATTCAGGGGGATGGCTTCTGTACACATCAAATGTGTACATAATCTTTTTCCCTCGCATTTTCACCAGAACTCACTCCAGGACCTCACGAGCTGAGGACGTGAGTCATGCCACCCTCCTCAGAACAATGGTGCCCCTCTGGAGGGAGCAGATCTGGAGCTTGAAGGGATTTTGATACACAGAGAGATATATAACCTGTGCTGAACTGGGAGATACATGTGCTCAGATGTTTTTTTCTTTCCTTACTTCCAGACTACAGAGCTGAGAGGGCTGCTCTGGCTGTCTTGTCAGTCTGGAGGAGACTGCAGAGTCAGGGCCTGAGGTTATAACTGCAGAGGGTATTAAGACTCCTCTTGTGGAACTTCTGGTGCTGTGGAAAATCTTTACTGAGTTAGTGAGGTAGACCACTGCTGAATGGAGAAAAAAAAAAGGGGGAAAAAAAAAAAATGCAGACCCTCTGGGTCTTGCTGGCTTGCTGAATGGGATCCCCTTCAGCTTTCTCACCTGAGGACTCCTGAGCTGCTGGCTACACACTGGTGAGCTTTACTCGGAGGGGTACAGGAAGGCTCCTTCCTCTCCCACCTCTCCTAGGAAAGACAGGCTCTGTTTTCCCCTTCAGGCAGAGAAACGCCTCATTCCCAGCTTTTCTGCTACCTGGTTGCATGCTCCAGCTGCTGTGCCTACCCATGAGAGACTCATGCAGGAAGTATTTCTGCCCCATGAAGGTCTCATGGCTTAGGGAATCACCCATGGCTTCAAACAAGGTTCAGGCAGCTTTCTGGCTTTGACTGGACTGCGGTGGCATTAAAGTGGGAAGTTGGGACCTACCTTCTGAGGGCACTGCTTGCATTGAGGTACCTGGAGGACTTAGAGGCTCACCACAGGGATGCCCAGTGGGGCTTCACATATTGGGTTGTGTAGGACTGAAGTCTATGGGATCTGATTGCTATCTGGTTCTTAGACAATCTGCTTAAATCTCAGTTTAGGTGGAATTTAAGCCTTATGGGTTTCACCCAAAATAAGTAGCTCACACCCAATGTGTGTCACATATTGGTTTCTAGCAGATGGAAAACATTACAGACTGGGAATAACTTTGTGGGAGTTGTGGCTCGCCTGACTGTCTCCTAAGATAAGGGCACTAGCCTTAAGTTTTCTGTTGGATTGACTGCTCTGTGTGCATGTATGTAACTGTGCGTGTGTAAATTAGGAGCTTCACATTCTCAGAAATAGCACCAGCAAATGGAAGCTGGTAATATTAACTCTGTCAAGGCTCAGTATTGATCCTGAAGCTCAGTGAAATGCAAGCCTGAGACTGCAGCCTGCTAGCACTAATAATTAAACTGGTTAGCAATATGGAGCTGCCACTCAGATTCAGACTTATAATGAAATTGTTTAAGAAAAAAAAGAAAAAGATAGAGCAAGTATGAATACAAGTCTGTGGGTTGGATCTCCTTTGGAACCCATTTCTTACAGATCTCAGACATTATTGCCTTTATTATTACTCTGTTTAACTCCTTTGTCATTAGATTTTGTTCTGTACAATTCCAGGTGGAGGCAGGCAGACTTTTTTTTTTTCTTGCTTTTCCCTAATTTACTGATTTGTTCACTGAATAAAGTGCTTAACTGCCTACCATTATGATGGTTGGAGCTCTTCTAGGCCAACCCAGCCTAACAGTTTCCAATGGGACAGCCCCCATCTTTGGATGTCTTGAAACTAAAGTATCCATACAATTAAAGAAAGGTGCCCATAGCTTATTTTCAGCTGTTTATATCAGGAAGGCTGAGCTTTACCAACCTGTATTAAACAGCTGCCCTATAATGCTGGTCTGAAGTCTTTTTTGGCTGCCAGTGATTTTATGGAATAGCAATATCTTTTTCCAGTGTATCACTGTGATTGGGATTTTTTGCCTCTCTGTTGCAAAAATATGCTGGTTGACGTTGTCACATGTCAAAATATCCAGTGAGATATTAAGTGCATCAGCAGGACTGGTCTCTTCCCTGGTGCTGCACATTCCAGTACAGTTTATGATATATTATAGGCAGATCAATATTTAATGGACACATTATACTGTCAAGAGAAGAGGGCTTCCTATTCAAATTGAAGTTACTTTGTCTAGAGAGTGACTGGAAAAAAAATTACCCGCACATTCAAGAGAGAAGCCTCATTCTTACACCTGGGCTGTAGAAAAGGATCCTTTGTGCTATCCAGGTAACAAGTGATGCCAAAAAGAGGCAGAAGGAGGTAAGGCACCTAGTTTTGCAATGAAGCCTTTTCAAACTGAGGAAGGGGAAGACATGGGGCAGGTGGATGAGAAATAAGCAGACAGTGGTGGAGCCAGTGAGAAAAGATATAGAGTAACAACCTTGGCTTTGTTTAAAGAAAGAATTGACCTGTCCAACACGGTGGGGACAGCACAACTTGAGGGACTGTAATGGCTGTGTGTTCAGAGGGGAGGCTCTGCCCTGCGAGCAAACAGCAATAGGTGTCTCTTTGCACATGACGAGACATAGCTCGTTGTGGAGCGTGTGTTTTTAAGTGCAATCATCTTTTTCTTCTCTTGCACAAACAGACAGGGACCTGCAAAGAAATGGCCTCCCTTTGTAAATGTGACCCCTCCTAATGTAAGAGATGCTGTTCTGGTGGCTGCCTAGTGACTTTGTCACACCAGAAAATTATATATATGCTGAGACCAGGTCTAGCTTGACACTAAAACTGATGTGCTACAAGCCAGCACCTTACCTTTGCTGTTACCATCGGGTCCACGAAGGATTGTGCACTCCTCAATGTTGCCAAATGCCTCGAATAGCCTGCGCACGTCGTCTTCCGACTGCTGCTTATTGAGCATGCCCACAAAGAGTTTTCTGTCTTCTGGAACAAAATAAAGAGATGCTTACCATATTTCAGGAGGGATGTGAAAGCCAATATGGCTCAGTATCACATGCAAAACAAACGGTGAGTGATTTCATTGAGGTGACATATTTCAGAAGCTGCTAGTCATTTCAGGTGGCTGGCTCAAAAAACCTTAATAGCATCTGACTTTCAATGAGTACTTGCAAAGAATTTGGCAATTTAAAAAAACCCAGCCAAACAGAAATGTTAGGTTATGTATAAAATCTTTAACTGCTTCTCAAAATCTAAGCTCCAAAGTGTTCCAAATCAGCTTTCTCTGATCAATTTTTGCAGTCAGCTTGCAGTAACTGAAATGACAACATTGCTCAGACTGCGATCCAAGAGGAATGTGGATAAGGATAGCATATAGAAGTAAAGTCCAAATGAAAAATAACATAAGTTAGTAGCCCTCGCAGTACTAAATGAGTTGCAGGAAAAAAATGTTTAACATAAGCTGTTTTAAATCAGGATATAACAGAAGCCACAGCCTGTAAATGGAGATTCGTCATTCATATCCTCTCACAGACACATACCTGCAAGTTTGGATCATTTTTTTAATACACTTTGAAAGTTCATTTGAAATAAGGCCAAACTTTTTGAAACATACATTGTTTTTTTGAAACATGAAGCTAACTTATATGTTTACTAGTATCTGAGATAGCTCAAGCAGGTGGTATTTCATGTCAAAGCAGGACATGGTCTGCTAGTAGATAATAGTATTTCAAAAGAAGAAGGCTATTTATACTTGGACTTGTACCAAGTACGGAGATCTTCGGTCCAGAATTAAACACCTTCAGAAAATGTTGGTGAAAACAGACCAAAATAATGATTGCTGAGTTGGTAGAAACATCTCAGAGGGCACTGAGTGATGCCTCTAGATCAGGTTTATGTTCAGAGACTACTACCATTACACCAAGAAGAAAAAAAAAAAAATTTACATAGTTTACATTGTGTATGTAAACAGGCCATTTACACGATTCATAAATGTCTTATTTATCATTCATTAAACACTATGTAAATGCGTGAACCAAGAGGTTTTTTTCAGAGCAGTTTACAGAGCAGATGTAACCAATTTGAATAAATATATGTAAATAAATAAATAAATAGTTTGAAATTTTTATTTATTTATTTTTAACACACATGTTAACCTAAAGCTGAACAAAACATTGGTTTGCAACAACCCTTTTCTGGCTGACTAATTGGGCAAATTATGTCACTTTTGTACACCAAGAAATCATTGTTGTAGGCAATGTGTTCTGCTTCCACTAGTGTTTGATCAAAATTCCCCTCTCCGAGATGCACCTGCGAATGGGAAAATTACTTTATAGTCTTGGATGATGATAATTTTTCATGCAGTGGCTATCGAGTGAGGATATTAGGAGCTTTCAATCCTGCAGTGGAGTTATCCATGTGAACAAAACGTATACTGCCCACAGAAAACAAGGAGTTATGTTGCCTTCAGCTAGGCTGCTGAAATGGTAGGAAAATAGGTTGAGGAGGGTACATGTGAATTTCTGGTAGGGGAGAAAAAATGGGGATAGCCTTCTGATAGACACGTTAGAAGCAAGAAATATGCCTACTTTATGTTGGAATTGATTATACAAAGGAATTTTTTGAGGTCTTTTCTGGCAACACAAAGTTCAGGCTTTAATGATACACAAAGCCCAAAGTGTAGGTTGTCTCCACCTCAAGAGAAGATGCTTTGCACACCTGAAAGGTTTGTTTTCTTGATGGCCAAGCTGACCTACAAAAGAGACTCTCAGAGGTGAGGTATAAGCCTTAGAGAGGCAGCTGCTGGAGTTGGGTGTGTGCTCTGTGGGGCATCTTTCAGTCTAGGGCTAGACAAAGACTTGGAGAAAGAGTCCAGTCCAAACTCCAATAGTTGTCCAGTTATTGGAGGAAAACTCACCCAGCAAATGAAACCAGCTGTCCTGGAAGATGAGGATATTCTAGGAAGCAGGCAGAGCAGTGGGAATGAACTAGGAACACCACTGGCAAAAGGTTTTGCCTAGAAAGTTTGTGTCTAGTAAATACTTCCAGCACAGAGAAAGCCTCTGTTATATTGTACTTTATACAGTTTTCCCTGTTTGAAATAAGCTGCATCAGCAAAAGCAATCCTATAGCTGTGTAACTGTATTTTCACCAAGCTTTTTGCTAATATAAATGTATCATTAAAAAAAAATCACATCCCTCCTCTGTCAGCAAAACTCTCTAGTGTGGAACTGGCCTGAAACTGCCTTGTCTGGTTTAGTTTATGCAAAGCTAAAACCAGGTGTTTTAGGAACCACTTGATTTTTTATTTTTTTATTTTATTTTACTTTATTTTTTATTTTAGCCCCCTTTTCTACATCTCTGCAGGACACTAGGAGTAATGATGCCTGTCCCCAGAGCTGGCTGGCAGAAGATGTGGTGCTTTGGTGAGCTGCCCGCAAGGTGGCCATCAGACCACATCACCAGGAACAGGTTCTGCTGAGGGTGAAGACCACCTTCCTCAGGGTCTGCTGGTCTAGCCACTCCAGGGGAGGTGGTGTGAAGGGGCCCCCATGGCTAACCAGCGCTCAGCACTGCTTGGGCATCACCTCCAGCCCCATCTCCAAATCGGGGCCCTGCCTCCCTCCTGAAAAACTGTGCCTGGGGTTGTCAGGAGAATCATTTGTCACATCTGCCATCTCAGAATTCTACACAATCACACACTTGGCTGATAAAAAATGAGTCAGTTTAACAGGCTTTTTTCTCTGAAAGGTTCTTCTAAAAAAGTGTTGCATTTACCTTTCATGTCCCAGCCCTGCCAGGGAGCCCAGCAGCATGTTTTAACAATGCCCTGTGCACATCTCAGTTGGGAAAGGAGGGAAGCATCCAGCAGCTGGGACCATTCAGCATGTTCCAGGTCTTGACTAATGAGTATATCCTCTAATGGGCTTGTATGAGCCTCTTACACCCTGAGTGCCCACAAATGGCTCTTCCAGGTCCCAAACAAAAAGCTGACATGCCATGCACTGGGACAACTACTCCTGTTTTGTAAATACGTCTGAACAAGGCCATGAGACTGCCAGAATAAAACAAAGAGAGGATGTGCTGGTGCCAGTGGAATGTGTCTGAGCGTGTGTGCACACCACAGGTGCTCCCCACCAGACTTTTCCAGTGTCCTCAAATGAGAATGGAGGGCAGTACCTTGCTGTACCATCACTCAGGCCACTCTACATCCTATAGAAATCAGAGATTTAGGCTGTGCACAAACCTGGAGCAGTCCCCAGATCAAGCTGTCCCTGAGCTCTGCCTGTCTGTAGGGTCCATCCTTACTACCCATACCATCCAGTGGATCCCATACTTCCTCCTCTTCTAGTAAGACACTATTCCAAATCTATGTGTCTCAGGACCCACATGAGCATTTCAGAGCACTGGGTAGACTCAGTCCCTCATAACCTCCATTGCCAAGCTTGGTGCTATCATCTCCACTTCAGATTGTGGGACTGAGGGGTAAAAAAACCCTTCTGACTAGGCGCCCTAAGACCTGGGCCACAGGGCAAAGTGAACACACAGTCAAGAACAGAAATACCACTGTCCAGAGGCAAAAGAGAAGGACAAAAAAAGGCTGGGCACAATCCCATGGTCTGGGATGCTCCCAATGTGAGCTGTGGGCATGATCATGTGCTCCAGCCCATGGCCATGGGAGAGGGAGTGGTACCTCACAGTACCATCCTGTCTTACACAACAGAGGTGGGCAGCCATGAGGAGCAGCCTCTATCTCCTCCCTCTGAGGGAAATGAAGATGGTGAACTTACTTAACATGTCTAAACAGGTTAAAACCTATTCTGTGTAGCTTCCTCAAGACCACACACGGCCATGCATCAAGTATTGATGCACATCTGAGTATCTCCCTTTTGCTTTTGCCAGGAAGGCCTTGTCCAAATTTCTGTCTATTACACACTCCAAAATGACAGTTTCAGTTTTTATTTCATGCCCAAATATTACATGTTAGTGAAGAAATCTCACTAGCCTCACTGTAGAGGCGGTTCTTAACAACAGTGACACTGCCCCACAGCATGACGACTGAATGTGGTGTCCCTGTAAGCCTCTTCCCCACACTTTTTTGTTTTCCCTCATTAGTATTTACCCTATTATCAGTCTTTCCCCACAGCCTGAGTCCATCATGCCTGCTAGGCCCATGGAAATAACCATGGATAGCTATTTCTATGTGCTGTGGTGCCCAGAAGAGCCAAGAAGGTTTCTGCTGGTGCATCACGAAGCCCTTACCGTAAGTGACCTGACGCACTGACATAATACTGAAAATTAAGTTGAACTCAAGTCTATCCTGTTTTTCCTTCAACAAACAACAGGAGCCAGCAGTCCCTGTTCCTCCCAGGAAGATGGGTAGGGAGGGAAAGGCCACAGCAATGGCAAACTAGAGTCCCCAGAGACATCCCCTTGGTGACATTTCCAATATCCCCATGAAACCAGGCTCCCCCCTTCTTGGCCATTCTACCAGCTGTGGAGTCTTGCGCCCATCAGGAAGAACTGGCTGCAAGGCGCTGTGGTGAAGAAATGTAACTTGTCAGATAAATATACAGCATCTGTAAATCTCTCCAGCTGTGTTTATATGAAGCCTCAGCACCCTCCCCAGTGCAAATAGGGGTTAAATTATTCCTTGTTCTATTTGTATTTAAATGTTATGTTTCTATGATAAGCGAAAGGCAGAGGTGTCAGACGGGCCCGGGCGGAGGAGGCGGCACGCGTGAAAGGTGAAATAATAGAGCGTTGCAAACCAAGTGCTGAGAGGAGATGGGAAGGGGGGACACGGGCGTGAGGGGGAGAAGGGGGAGGACGGGCACTAATTAAAGAGACAGAAGGGACAATGAGATGCAGGATGTTTGACCCTCTGTGGAGCAAGAGGACAGGAACAAGAATCACAGCAATTGTGAAGGGACTAGGGGAAAATTAGGGTCACTCACAGAGAGACATGACACAGGTTTGTGTTT